TTGTAGAGTATAGGGTGACACCACCTCATGCATAATCCCTTCCTTTTCAAATAACCCGTCGAAGTCTTTCAACACATACTCTCCACCATTATTAGTTCTCAAAACTTTGAGTTTTCGACCACTTTATCTTTCGACCATAGACTTAAACTTGGAAAATACCTCGATCACTTCACTTTTCTTCTTGATTAGGTAAGTCCACAACTTTCGACTGAAATCATCTATGAATATAACAAAGTATTTGTTACCTCCCATCAAATCCACCTAGATTGGTCCATATACATCAGAGTATATGGCTTCAAGAATAACCTTTGACCTGCTTCCTGCATCCTTGCTAAAGCCATTCTTGTGCTGCTTCGCCTACACATATTCCTCACGTACCTCGTTTAAAATGTTGATTTCTGGAAATCCTAAAACCGTATTTCTTCTCTTCAAATCTCTGATGTCTATGAAGTTGAGATGGCCTAGTCGATAATGCCATATCGATTCATCTATGCTAGTTGCAGTCGAAAGGCACTTGTGCTCCATCACATTTAGTTCGATCTTGAAGGTTCTATTATGAGACATAAGAGCCTTCAAGATTAATCTTCCATTTGCATCGACGACTCTCATCATCTTATCTTTAATCAATACTTTATAATTCTTTTCGACCAGCTGCCCTATACTGAGCAAATTGCTCTTCATGCCTGGTATGTACAACACATTGGAAATTACTGACCTCTTGCTATCTTTCATCATAACATAACATCACCAATACCTCCAGCTGCTAGGGTATTGTCATTTGTGAATTTTACCATATTTTTCATTGAGGGCTTTATGTTGACACACCAGTCTTTTCTTCAAGACATATGTGATGAGCATCCTGAATCTAAGTACCATTGGTCCTTGAATATATCTTCATCTCTTGTTGTGACCATCAACACCATCTCTTCTTCTTCTTCTTCTTCTTCTTCATGTTTTTCAAACTTTGCATCATTTTCTTGATTCTTTCGTTTTTCTAGACAATCACTTAAATAGTGACCATACTTTGACAATTGTAACACTAAATGTGACTCTTGTCAGGTTTTCGACCACCACTTCTTCCTCCATTTGCAAGACCACCTCTTTGGTTTCCTTGGTATGGTCTTCTCTGATTCGACACATTTCCTTCGTTCTAGTTTCCTCTACCAGTCAATTTGTTGTATCCGCCTCTACCTCTATCGAACCACTTTCCTTTGCCTTTGGTTTCTTTTGTTGAATGTGTCTGCAAAGCTACACCACTCTTCGACTTACCTGCAGCTCTTTCAGTCATCTTTGTTCATGAGATTCAAGCGTCCCTTGAAGTTCTTCCTTTGTCAATTTCGACAAGTCTTTCCCCTCTTCTATAGCCACCACCATGTGGTCGAACTTAGGAGCCAAAGATCTCAAGATCTTCAAAATAACAACTCTTATTGTTAATGTCTCTCCATATACCTTGATTTGATTCACTAGTTTTGTAACCCTAGTGAAGAAATCAGATATACTCTCACTATCTTTCATCTGAAGCAATTCATACGTTCTCTTGTGAGTTTGTAACCTCACTTCTTTCACCTTTTTTGTACCACCAAAAAACTTCTCAAGAACCTCCCAAGCTTCTTTTGCAGATTCTGAATCACTCACTTTTTCAAATTTTTTTGGACTCAGACATTGATGAATTATAAAGAGTGCTTTATAACTCAGCTTCTCAAATTTTGTGTGTTTCTTCTTTTCTTCTTCTAAAACGTTTTCTCCAAGCGCTTCCAATCCATCCTTTAAAAGATCCTAAAGACCTTGACACCTGAATAAAACTTTCATCTGTTTGCACCAATTCTCATAGTTGTCTACTTTCAGAATTGGTAGAGTTGCTAGATGATTTGCATTCTCATAACTCGCCATCGTGAACTCTTCTTCTTCCTCAATCGTTCTTGATCGATACTTCCTTGAATCGATTAACCGAGCTCTTGATACCAAATATTGGAAATCCATCAAATATCTATGATGAATTTCTACCATCTTGATGAACAAGATTAATATCACCACACAATGACAAATGAATTATGAGAAAAGAAAAGAAAGAAGACAATTATTTTCTGCTGAGTTTCTCTCTGCCCACAAACTGTGAAAAACTTTATTAATCACTTGCAACTGCAAATTCTGTTATTACGATGAATTGACTTAATTACAAAATTAGGTGTTACTCCCTCTATTTATAGATTTAGGTTAGCTTACTCCCTAAACCAAAACCCAAAACTATAAAAGCCCAAAATACCTATTTTGGTACTAAATCAAATCTATCTATTTTAGATCTAAATCAAATTTATCTAAATTTAAAACGAATCAAATCCGTGTGTAATTTACTTCGATCCACAAGCTCTTCGACTGGACAACCTTCATTCGACACACTATTTCGACACAATCGAATTACAATTTAACAATAGTTTGAATCAACTTTAAACTCTGTTTGATAAAAACATAATTTTGAACTTATAATTTATAAAATAATTTAAATTTGTTTAATAATAGTTTTTTATCTCAAATTTATAATTTATTTTTTAGATATTATTTCAAATAACATTTTCGTTTAAAGTTTATGGTTTATTATTTTTCTGAATTTTATTATTTTAATAAAAAATCATTTTTATTTTTTTATAATTTATTGTAATTTAAAACAAAATATTTATATGTTAAATAACTTTGTTATTTTATATTTATAAGTTACTTAAATCATTAATTTTTTAAACACTTCAATTAACTTATTAATTATTAGTCTCAATCATCAATTATAAAATATAAATCATTAATTATTAATTATAAATCATAAATTATAAACTATCAATTAGCTTATCACTCAACCGTAATTTATTAAACAGATCATAATTTTAATTTCTTTTTCAAAAACTAAATTGAATCCAAACTTGTATATTAATTTAATATTTATGTTTATTTTATTAATATGATATATCTTATTAGTTTATTATTTATTTAATTTTAATTTTTAAAAATATTTATTAAATTAAATTAATTATATTTTATTATTACAGATATTTTAAATACAATCAATTATTATCATTCTATAATATTTACTTTTAGTTATACTTTAAATAAACTCATTACTTTATCGTTTATTTTATTATATTTATAATCAATATTTTAAAAATCAAACCGGTCATCAAATTAATAAAAATATTAAACTTTTGATTTATTGATCGAATCACTTGATTACAAGTCGAATCACATGACTAAATCAAATTAAATTAAATTCAATTGATTCGATTTCTAAAAAATATCGCGATATTTACAAAATTTTAAAATATCATAATTTTATAAATTTATTCTTTATATTCAAATTTTAAATATAATCATCACATACAACAAAATAATATAAAATATAAATATAAATAATTTTTAAACAAAGTCTAATTATAACATAAATTGAATAACGTAATAACTTGTATAATAAATTTAATTTTAAAAAGAAAAAATTATTTCAAATAATTTTTAAATAAAGTTATTTTTTTTTTAAAATTATCAAGATGTCCGAGGAAAAAGGTAGCATTTAACTTGTCGATTTTCAAAATCGTCGATTCTTTGATTTTGATCAATTTTAATCGGTTCAATAACTTATCCAGTCAAACAATCAGACTAGATTGATAATCTCTTCGATTCCTATTCAACTGATTTGGTTCGATTTTTAAAATAGTAGATATTTAATTTTTTTAAAATTACTAGAAGATAAAATTGATAACTTTTGAATTTAAACATAAATTTTATATTAAAATTTATAACTTAAAATTCACTTTTATATAAATATACCTAAATATAATTCAATTATATTAAAATCAATTTTATTTAATTCAATTCTATAAATCGAAAATCATAATACATAATAAAATTGTCTAGAACTAACGCTTTCTTTACAACTCATTTTCTTAGTTGATAAGAAAAATAGAAGATAACATCAAAGTTATTATTTTAACGTTGATATGTTAACTATCTCTTTTAATAAGATAATTTCTTCTATACTTCTGGTTATAAATTAAAGAAAATATATATATATATATATATATATATATATATATATATATATATATATATATATATATATATATATATATATATATATATATATATATATATATATATATATATATATATATATATATATATATATATATATATATATATATATATATATATATATATATATATATATATATATATATATATATATATATATATATATATATATATATATATATATATATATATATATATATATATATATATATATATATATATATATATATATATATATATATATATATTTTAAGTATTTAAATATTTTATCAAATTTTTTTCTAAATTAAAATTAAATATAAATTATATTTAATTTATTTTCTATCTTTTTTCTCCATAAATAACAATTAATTGAATTTGTTTTTACATTTTCCCAAAGCATATATTCTAAATATGCATCTTTTCCAAGTTTAGATTAAATGTAAATTAAATTAAATTTGTTTTCTCTCTAACTTTTTCATAAATAACAATCAATCAAAATTACTTTTACATTTTTCTATGTAATATATTTAAAAAAATACAAAGTTTGAATTTTTTTAATAAATTGAAATATTAATTAATTAATTTATAAATCTTATATATAGTCTTGAGCATCCCAACACAATACCATACACTTCTTCAAGAGAACTATTCACCACCTCACTCAATTGACATAGTAGTAACAGTACTTATCTAGTGACAAGATTATTTATTTATTTTTAAAGCTTTAATTTTAAATTTTTTTTGGGGTTGAGTGAGTGTGACCATTCCCTACTCATATTTAAACCCTTGAAAAACAAAGCTCACTATTATTCTATATAATCTTCTCTCTCTCTGTCCCTACTCGGCGCTGAGATAAGAGAAAGAAAAGCAAACCACCTCACATAAGAGATTAGAGAGAGAATCAAAAATCAAAAACCCAAAGAGTGTGTTTTGTTTTGTATAGTGTGATGGATAATAAAAGCTCTGCAGACTCTTCATCTTCGGATAGAGATAACTATCTCAGACACCTCAACAAGCTTTCTCACAAGATCTCAAAACCCATTCTCAACATCAACAACAACAACAACAACAAAAAAACCTCTTCTTTCGAACAACAACAACAGCCTCAAATTCACAACAATAATCCTCTTCATCAAAACCCACAACATCAACCACCTGTTTACAACATCAACAAAAACGATTTCAGAGACGTTGTTCAAAAACTAACGGGCTCACCTGCGCACGACCGTATCTCAACACCGCCTCCCATTCAACAACCCAAACAACAAAGCTCCCGCCTTCAACGTATCCGTCCTCCTCCGTTACCTCACATCACTAACCGTCCACCGCCGTTACTTAACAGTAACTCCCGTCCTCATCTTCCGCCGTCGCATAACTTTAACTTTAACGGTCTTAACTTTAATCAGAGCTTTCCTGGCTTTGGTAGACCTCAAGCACCGTTATCTCCGTTGCCGCCGTTTCCCACCGTTCACGCCGCTGCTGAATCTCCTATCTCCGCTTACATGCGCGATCTGCAGAATTTTGTCTACACCATGGATTCCAAAAGCTTCTCTGGATTTTCTCCTTTGCCTCCTCCTCCTCCTCCTCCTCATCCGGTTTCATGGCATCAACCTCAACCAGAACAAGAACAACAACAACAACCACAACCACAGCAGGAACCGGAACAACAAGAGAACCAACCCCCGCCGCAACAGGTGGTTGCTCCGCCTGCTCAGCTTGCTCAGTCTCTAGTGGCTCAACCACAGTTACCGTTTCAGATGCCGTCTTCTCCCGTTCCTTTTGGTTGTTTGAATTCACAGCTTGCATCTTACCCTTTGTTGTCACCTGGATTAATGTTTTCCCCAAATTCTGCTAATTTAGGGTTTCCTCAGCTTCCTCTTTCTCCCACCGTGCCGGCTTCGAGTCCGCGATGGAGAGAAATTTGACTTCCATTAGGGTAAGAAAGCTCGGAATCTTCAGTTTTCGCCTTCGATTTCGGGATGTACATGGTGGTGGTGGTTTGGGAATTTATTCAATTTGTGGTGGTTGGACTGAAAAGCTAGCTAGTCCATTCTACTGCTTAGTGCTAGTTTATTTTATTTATTCTGTAAAAATGGGGTATCAAAAACAGATGAAAGGAACAATTTTGAAATTGTTTTTTTTTTTGTTGCTCTTTTTGAATATTTTGGGATCAGGAAAAACTAAAATTACAAGTTGTTATACAAATATAATAGGATCATCATCTTCCTCATGCTGTTTTTAGGTTACAAAATCTATATTGTTATTGACATCATGCTGTTTTTTCTTCAAATATATCTTATTGTCCTTGTCAAGTGTTATTATCATTTGATTCTTTGCTGGTTGTTGCAGACAAAGCTTGTTTAATTTTAGCATTTGAATTATTAGTTTGTTTTATTGATCATGGTCCCTTATGTTCCTTCTTTGAGGGACTGTGGCTATCTGCAGTTTTTTGGAAAAAGGTGAAATTGTTGACTGGTCTTTCAATTATACATGTGCTAGGTAGGTAGTTTGTACTATTCAAAGATGATTGATGGTTTTTATAGTTAGGTATTTGAATTTTGTGGTGTTCTTGAAATTGTTCTGCTCTCAACCTTAGCCTGATTGCTAATGTTGTTCCAGAATAAAATGACAATTTTACTTTTATATGTACCTATTTTATGACAAACATGTATTTAACTTTATGCATACAATATAACATTAGGTATTCAGGTTTTGTCTGTCATTTTGTTTCATAAGCTTTTTATAAAGTTATTTCACCATGTAGTCTTGTTACTGGCTCTGAATTTTCGTTCTTTGGTTGCATTTTTAAGATTCATGGTGAAGGATGCAGCACAGACATGGTGTCTGATATGGATTGTATAGTAAAGTTGTTGTAAATGGATCTTAAGCCATTTTAAGCAACATCTAAACCATCTTAAGCAATGGTTATTTCAATAAACCATTTATATTTAACCCTGTCATTTTAAATTTTCCCCACCAATTTTCGAACAACTTGCACAAATGTATATGATCCAATGCTGAAAAAGTTAAGGTACTCCACATATGCAACATGCATTGGAGATGCCGTGTTGCACACTGTTCATTCTGCATATGGATTGATACTCTACAGAACCACACAGTGTGATGATGATGTCCTTGTCTAGGAAATGAACCGATCAAATCCTTGCGTAGGGATTGGATTAAGTTTGACATCTTGTGACAAAATAACGTGATACTCCGAATTTTTTACCAACATACACACTTTTTAACAACTATATCTCAATATACCACACCTTTCAACCATTATTCTCAATATACCATCTTTTCAAAAAAAAAAATTTGAAATTAGGAGGCTCCGCCCAATGGATGGGCGGATGGTCTTAAAAATACACAGCTTCCGCCTATTGCATTGGCGGAGCTGTGTGATCAACGTTTTTTTTAAAAAATAATTTTAAAAATATATTAAAATTGCTGTTAAATAAAAAAATAATATATTTTTATAAAATGAATTTGATATATTCAATTTTAAGTCATTTTAATGAAATTATTAAAATATTAATATACAAATAAAATTTATTTTAATGTAATTTTAAAAATAAATTAAAATTATTATTAAATAAAAAATCAATATATTTGTATAAAATGAAATTGAAATATTCAAATTTAAGTCATTTTAATGAAATTATTAAAATATTAAAATATTAATATACAAATAAAATTTATTTTAATGTAATTTTAAAAATAAATTAAAATTATTATTAAATAAGAAATCAATATATTTGTATAAAATGAAATTGAAATATTCAAATTTAAGTCATTTTAATGAAATTATTAAAATATTAAAATATTAATATACAAATAAAATTTATTTTAATGTAATTTTAAAAATAAATTAAAATTATTATTAAGTAAGAAATCAATATATTTGTATAAAATGAAATTGAAATATTCAAATTTAAGTCATTTTAATGAAATTATTAAAATATTAAAATATTAAAATACAAATAAAATTTATTTTAATGTAATTTTAAAAATAAATTAAAATTATTATTAAATAAGAAATCAATATATTTATATAAAATGAAATTGAAATATTCAAATTTAAGTCATTTTAATGAAATTATTAAAATATTAATATACAAATAAAATTTATTTTAATGTAATTTTAAAAATAAATTAAAATTATTATTAAGTAAGAAATCAATATATTTATATAAAATGAAATTGAAAAATTCAAATTTAAGTCATTTTAATGAAATTATTAAAATATTAAAATATTAATATACAAATAAAATTTATTTTAATGTAATTTTAAAGATAAATTAAAATTATTATTAAGTAAGAAATCAATGTTAAAATATTAATCATAGAAAGGGTCATGTTATTTTATTATTGCAGTGCGGCTCCGCCCCTGCAATGGACGGAGAATTTTATTCATTTTATTATTTTATTATTTCAGTACGGTTCCGCCAGTGCGATGGACGGAAGTTTTCGTAATTTTATTATTTATTTACGGCTCCGCCACGTTAATGGGCGGAGGGTTTTATTATTTTATTAATTTAAAATTTTTGTTGTGACCTATAAATATCGTTGATGTTGAATGATCCAAGCTACACTTAAATTATTTTTCTTTAGTTGTATCTTAAAAATGTCTTCAACATCCGGGGAGTTTTCAATGTTTCCATATATGAAAAGAGACGCAGAACTTATTTTTTCTCCAGTAAAGCCTCCGATGAAGATCAAATTGTTGAACACGCAGACATTTGAGCATCTGCATAGGCACTTGGAGGGATGGTTAGGGGAAGAAATTGCCCAAGGTGAAAAGATTCAGAAAATAGAGAGGTTAGTTACGGTGCCTGGCTTAAATGGACCCACTCGTTCTTGGAGACTTGTTCACAACGACGCATGTGTTCTTATGATGATGCTTCAACAAAAAGACATTGTGTTGCTGATTGTAATATCCTAGAAATGGTCATGTCCTTGTTTGAACATGTTGATGTTGTTTACGTTTAATGTTGTTGCTAAGTTCTACTATTCGTCTCAGTATTTTAATTTATGTGTTGTTTTTTCGAATTGTTATTTATATTAAATGCAGAAGTATTAGTGAAATGAAACATAATAACTCGGTGTCATTATACATACAACTTTGCAGATTGATAACAAAATGAATAATTAATTATTACTAGTTCCTACATTGGGGCATCGCGTTCGGTTATGACCTGGAAGACGACACAATGTGCATTTTCTCTCCAACTTATCATATGCGTCCATTTCTGTTGTAATACGGGTGCTCACGGGACGACCTTTCTTGTTCCTCCGCATAACTGGATTATGGCAAATTTGATCTCCCTCATAAGTGGGCCAATACTCATCGTATGGTAGAACTGAAAAGCTCGTGCTGTAAACCCCAAATAAGTTCGCAACCTTGTAAACGTCAGACAACAGAAGAAATGCGTCTTGGCGCACCACAGAACATGCAGCGATAACATGTGAACACGGTATGCTTGAAACTTTCCGCAGTCACACCATCCTTCCAATAGGTTGACCTTGTAACGCCCCAATGGCTTCCCCTCACCGTGGTTAATTGTCTCCTTCACACTGAAAGTGTTATTATTATAGTAAAAAATGCTTACTTGATGTGTGGCGGATTTAGACGTCTCTTCTTTTATCACCTTCACGCACCGTTCTGTAAATGTTTGTCCAGAATTCAAAACTGCACTCCACTTTGCACCCCTTTCAGCAAAGAGTGTTCCCATCCTATAGTATGTTGCACTTACTAACGATGTGATGGGGAGATTACGAGTGCCTTTAAATACGGAATTTAGTGACTTGACAAGGTTTGTTGTCATGTTCCCCCAACGACGACCCTCGTCAAATGCCCTCGTCCATTTTTCAACGGGAATTCTGTCTATCCACCTCAAAGCATCACCATTAGCCATCCCAATTTCATTACGATAATATTTAAATGTTGGTTGGTTCAGCGCATACCCTACATGTTAAAAAAAATATTGGTTAATATAATGGTATACTATTAACGAGCATGTAATGTTTGCATAAAAAGTACTTACCCATGTTGATTATTTTTTTTCCGGAGGATACGGTCCTTGATATCCTTCATAAAATTTTGTGCAATATGCCTGATACAATACACATGGACAGATGTAGTGTTATTCCAACCATTTTCAGGATTGTTATAAGCGCTTTCGATAGATGCATGTCGGTCAGAAATCAAACACAAGCCAGGTTGAGGAGCTACATGCATTCTCAAGTTTTTTAGAAAGAAACCCCAACCATCCGCCGTCTCACCTTCCACTAAGGCAAAGGCAACTGGGAAAATATTGCTGTTTCCGTCTTGTGCTACAGCCATTAGTAGTGTACCTTTGTACCTTCCATATAACCAGGTACCATCAATCTGTAGTAAAGGCTTGCAATATGCAAAGCCACGTATGCATGGTTGGAAAGCCCAAAATAGTCGGTGGAAGATTTGTTTCCCAGCAATAATAGTCCCGTCATCTGTATATACCGGTAGTGTTTGCATTTCTACTATAGTGCCTGGAACAAACTTCTTAAGGGCCAACAAGTAATTTGGAAGTTCATTGTATGACTTTTCCCAATTACCAAACACTTGTTCGATTGCTTTGTTTCTAGCAATCCATGCCTTCTTGTAAGATGGAGTGTAGTTGAAAAAAGAAACAATTTCGTTAATACATACACTCACCTTGATGGAGGGATCCTTTTCAACAAGAGGCATTAATCGTTCACTCATCAGTCGAGAGCTTAGTTGTCGATGATCCTGATTAAAGATGGTCGTTGAACAATTATGTGGGGGCTCCATGATTCCTATCTCCCATAGGTCGCTCCTTTTCCTATAGGATGCCACTAGACGAAAGTTGCAACCACTTTGCTTACAACAAATTTTATGTCTCTTCGTGTCAGAACACGTAAC